TTCTGAGGCAGCTATTATTGTCTTTATTGAATATTGTGGATATATTATTGTATCATATATTCATTATCCACATTATATAAGGATTCTGTGTCACGGGGAACTTCAGTAGTGTACCCAAGATTATACCTCAACTAAGCAAGAAAAATTAAGATTCATCTCCTGTTTTAACACTCATTCAGTCTCCCCATCAACACATGTTCGTTGGACGCCTTCTACACAAGAAGCCCTATGCTAAGCACCAGGTCTAGAGATGCATTCAGTAGATGCGATGCCCCCGAAGGGTGCTAAGGCCCAAGGATTATTCCTTCTCCCCCAGCACAGGCAGAGGAGAGTGCCACATCCCAGAGGGACGGGTCAAAAGGAAGAATGATCCCAAGGAATGAGAGGCATGAGTTTCATCTCAAGCTCACTCTTTCTTTCTTTTTTCTTCTTTTCTTTCTTTGATGTATATCTCACTCTGTTGTCCATGCTGTCTTTGAACTCCAGGTTTCAAGCAATCCTTCGGCCTCAGCCTCCCCAATTGCTGGGACTACACCACCTGTGCCCTACTACAGCACATTTTAGTGGCTTTCAAGAACCATCTTCTTCTGAATGCTAATGATGCATACCATAAAACATGACACTAGCTCTTTCATCTGATCTTCAGAGAGACTCAATTTTTAGCACTTCAAACTGGTCCGGTACAGGAGAAAACAATAGAAAACATGGAAGAGGAAAAAAGGAAAGAAAGGGAGGATAGGAGCTCAAGCTGATTTAATCCTTGATCAGTCCTGGGAAATAGGATGCAACACCCTCCAGTTTTGCTGAAGAGGAGCAGGCTTAGGGAAGTTATATAATTTGTTCAAGTCACACAGAGATCAGCACCAGGCCGGAAAATGAACCTAGATCTGTTTGAGCCAGACTCAGTGCTCAGCATCTACATTGTGCTCTCACACTACATTCCCAAACCAGAAGTTTGCGTAAAGTCTCTGGCACTTTAAAAAGATAATTAGATTTGACTGTGTGTGCTTAGAGAGATTTATTTTTGGAAGGATAGAAAGGGAGAAGTTGATGCCACTTGATAAAGTTGTGAAATGCCTCTTTCCCTCTTCTGTGGGCCACTGGTTCGGCAGAATCAGCATGTGATCATGCATTTCCCATGAAACAAATCATTCAAGAATAAACTCATCCAGGTAGGCCTGGTGGCACACGCCTGTCATCCCAGCACTTTGAGAGGCTGAGGCAGGAGGACTGCAAGTTTGAGCCCAGTCTTGGCAACCTAGCAACTAAGCAAGACCCCCGTCTCAAAATAAAAATAAATACATAAAAATGGTTGAGGATGTAGCTCAGTGCAGAGGCTCCAGATTCAGTTTGCAGTACCGCTGTTAATTAATTAATCAATCTGAGCAGATCTGTCAACAGCACTGTGCGAAACTATCACTTTGCCACAGCTGTGTGCACTGATGCCAAAGAGCACCACCCAAAATTAGCAGAATTGATGTCTCCCGTGAGCTGAGAACAGAGCACTGCAATTGCCTGGACATGACGTCTCAGTGTGACTCTAGCATGTCTGCAGCCTCAGCTGAGGAGAAGCATGGAACCCATGCTGGACATGATGGAGGATGAGTGTGTGTTTAGTGCCCTTGCTGACACCTCCATGCTGGCCACACTATGCTTGCCCTGGGGCCTCCTAAAAGGAGACTGGATGTCTGGAAATTCTAGGAGACCACCTCACACCCCATTTATTCTGTGTTCTAGGTGCTCACAAAATAAATTATGAAGAATTTTGAATTTCTAAGTTACAGGTATTTCCTGTCCTGTGTTCCTTATGTCCTACTAGGCAGAGGGCAGAGACTACCAGTTCACAGAGAGCGTGCAAGCAGGGTGTTCTCTACAGGCTCATCCGGTGTGCAGCCTCTGTGTACAGAAGTTACCTTCGCTTGAAATTGACACAATACAGCAAAAATATTGCTGAGTCCTTCAGCATAGCTTCCTGCAGTCATCCAGAAGAGAACATGAGCAGGCTTCACCCAGCCCACATCAAGCTGAGTAAGAGAGAAGCGTTCCAGGAAGAAGGGCATGATTGAGAAAGAAGACTGATTCTAATAAGGCCCATTGTTGGGCAAGAAGGCCTTAAACAAATGGTAAGTGGCACAAAGTAAAATATTAATACATCTGATGGCTTTTTCTTCTTATGGCATTATTGGGGATTAAAGCCAGGGCCTTTGCACTGAGCTACATCTCCAGCCCTTTTTATTTTTTCATTTTTGAGAAGAGTCTCATTATATTTCCCAAGCTGGCTTTGAACTTGAGATTCTCCTGCCTCCACCTCCCCAGGAGCTTGGATTACAGGCACAGATACCTGGCTTGCATCAAACATTTTTTTGTATCAAATTTTTAAACATTCATAACAACTGAAGACAGCTATGGTTTTAAAAGATAATCAACAAACTAGAAGAAATCTGCTACACACAAAAATAATTTTTATCCACAATATTCAAAGAATCCCTATAAATCAATAAGAAAAAACCAAAATGATACGAAAATGGGGAAAAGCTATAAACAGGTAATTCCCTGAATAAGAATTACAAGTGCTTAAAAAAACATGAAAAGATGCTCAATATGCAAAGATGTGTAGTCCTACTAGTAACCAAGGAAACAAGAACCAACACAAGATAAAAAATTGGAGAAATTTCAAAAGATTGCTACAGACATTACCTGTTTAACAAATATTCAGATTTATGAGCCATCTTTTCCTTTGTACAGTTCTGTACACTTGTTTATAGGGCCTCAAGGTCTTATTTTTGTATAGTATACCTTGTTTATACCATACTGCAATTTCTCCTGACTATACTGTACAGTAGAGTACTGTAGTTTTATGTTCTGTTATGCATTACAGTACTGCATATAACAGTTATGCAAATAAAAGCAAAATCATCAAGTCAGAGTTTTCTTTGACTATTTCTTTGTTCTGAATATTGTAATTGTAACATACATACTACATACAATTCCTCATTTAGTGACCAATTCATTTAACTACCTAGTCATAGGGACTAGAACTCAGTCATTGAATGAGGAGTGTCTGTATTAGCCCACTGGTGGCAGGGGCAGCTCTAACAAGCTGCTGCGGGGGGGAGAGGAACTCAGTGGGACCATGCTGGAAGACAAGGGTGTAGTAGACACACACCATGACCCAACAGTCCTGACCTAACATCTGCCCTAGAAAAGACACACACACACACACACACACACCACACACGCACGTATGTGTGCATGTGTACACAGGGAAAAGGGCACAAAGATACTCAGGAAAGCACTATTTGTGATAGCAGGATCTGGAAATAACCTAAATATCCATCAGCTAGAATGGCCAGCTATTTAGTGGCATTTACATACAACAGAAGATATGAAGGACTCTAAAGAATACTATTTTAAATAGCTTTGATTGAAAAAAAAAGTTGCAAAATAAATACCACATACTATTTTTATAAATAAAAAAATTTTTTAACAAAGAAGTACTATGGGGCTGAGGATATAGTTCAGGGATAAAGTATGTGTTTAGCACAAGGTTCTGGGTTCAACCCCCAGCCACCTCCCCACATACAAAAGAAGGAAAAATCTGTTATCTGGGCCTGGTAGTATGACCCTGTAGTCCCTATTACCCCAGAGGCTGAAGCAGGATCATCACTTGAGCCCAGGAGTTCGAGACCTTGCAAAATAGCAGACCCTGTATCACAAAGAAGAAAACAAAAAACACTACATGTATGTGTATTTTCTTTGCATGTATTCAATCAGCATGTTTTGCATATAAAATAATAAGTAACTTGGGAGAGGTGAGAGCTAACTAGAGCTGGAAATTGGAGGAAGGCTCTGGAGAAATATAATTGCTATTTTTAAAATAAGTATTAAGTGTATTGGGACAGAAAGGAAAGCTTCTTATCAATGCCAGTTCTTCACAGTCTTGGCTTTTTGAGGCATTGATGATAAACTGAATTTTTATTTAAAAATTACTTTTTAAAAGGCTCTTGTTAGTGATCCAGTACATTGTTTTGTATTTTTTGCTAATCAATAAGCTTTAACAGCCCAGAATTTATTATAATAGAAAACTGAAAAAAACCAGCTTGCAAGTAATAAACTTACAAAAATATACACCTGTCTTTTGCAATGTAATAAATTCCTACATGGAACAGCATGTAGTAGCAACTCTTTTTTTTTTTAATGGAAGACAATTTATTTAGCTTTGTGAGGCTTTAATTTAATACATATCCTTGGCACAGGAAGACCCTACTAAAGTTTCACAGCTTGCCTTCATAAGCCAAATATGGAGGTTGACTTTATGTGGTTTTCAGATACTAAGTTTGAGAAAGTTAATGGGTCATCAGGATTTGCACATGTGACCACACACAAAATAATCAAAGAAACCAAAGAACAAGACTTTAACATTCTCCAAACAAAAACTACAATTTCTGTGAAACATTTATTCCTGTCTATATTCATTTTAATCTCTTTATTTTCCATTTTTTACTGATTTTTTTCCTGAATAAAGGTTATAAATACATCTTTTTGAATTGTCTTCCATGTCTTAATCCGAGTCATTGGTTATATACTTATCAATCATTTACAATAGGATAAATAGCAACTCTTTCTGTACTAATTCTGCATTGTCATGCCAACCTGCCAAGCTAAGTGCGAGCAGCTGCCCCAACCTGCTCTGGGAAACTGCTTTATTGGTTCCCAAACCTCACTACCACGATTCACACTGTTAAGAAAAAAAACTGGAGACAGGAGTATTTTCCAGCTACTAAGCTCAAGGATTCATTGAAAATGAACCAAACAATGATTTTTTTTAAATTTTAAAAAATTAGAAACTTCTAATACAAACCAGCCCAAAGAAAATAAAATCCTTGGGTAGGTGTTTTATCGTTGTTTTAATTAGCAAGGAAACTCTCAATTTCTATTTCACATTTTAAAAAATATATAGAAGAAAGAAGAACGATAAAGGCAATGTTCATGTCACATACCCAGCCTCCGTTTTGCCGTATCCAGTCTCCCATGTGGTTCATTATGAACTCAGCCACAAAGCAAGAAATCTCCTTGTAAGTGTTCCCATCTGGGGCAATCGGCTCTCGTGACAGTTTCTTGAGGATGACCCCCCCAAAAGCAAATATGGTCACAATCCGTCCCCAATTAATGATGCCATCCTCAAACTCCTTCTCCATCACCTGGTTGAATATCATCCTGGCAGCATCTATGGACACCACATCAAATCTGTCCAAGCATGGCTTCAGACTCTTCTCAACTTCTTCCTGGATGGAGAAAGCCATGTCCTGTAGCACTCTGGATGTCTTGCTGTGGCCAGTCCCACGCTGAGGTACCTGAAGGACGTGAAGCAGGTACTCCTGGGCCAGAGTTTGAGTGTACCTGAACTCCATGTCAATCATTTTGGGCTGGGGAGGGCAGCTTGGAGCTGGCTTGCCTGGGGCCTGTGCAGGCAGATGGAGGCAGCCGGCAGCAGAGCTGAGCAGGATGTGACCCATCGTGATAGCTGCTGGCCAGTGGAATTTCTGTTTGCATCATAGTTCAGGATCCTTCCTCCTACTTTCTTGCGTAGGCTGTGTATGAAAGAGAAAGTTTAAAATGTGAAAGAGGAAAGTGTTTCGAAGAGGTCACTTCCTCATCCTGTGATTAATGCAATTCGAAAGTCATAAATGTGAGGAGGTGGGGAGGAATCTGGATTCTCACACATTGCGGGTGGGAATGTAAATTGGTCCAACTCCTGAGAAAAAGTTCCAGATAGAATTACCAAACCCCAGCCAGTCCATTCCTAAGCACTGAAGGAGCTGAGGCTGTGCCCTCTCGAATAGGCCAAACTGGTAGACTAACAGTTTCAAGCTGAAATCACTGGGGGAACTACCACTCTGAGAACCATGTGGCTGGTAATTGGGGCTGCAGTGTACCTGAGTAAACAAACTGAGGCAGCCTTAACTTCCAAGAGCTTCTACCACCTCATGCCCCATGTCTCTCAGTAACATCCTTAGATTTATGAGCCTAGTCCAGATACCATTTGTCCTGCACAGATATGTTGTTCTTTGTCTAAAAAATATAAAAGCATCCTGCTTTGGTCATTTATTTGGACTTGACTCTTTTTTTCTTTTCCTTTTTTTTTTTTTTCAGGTTTTTGAGACAGGTCTTGCTATGTAGTTCAGACTGGCCTTGAACTCCTAGAGATCTTTCTGCCTCAGCCTCCAGAGTCCTGGGATTACAGGTATACACCACACACTATGCTCTGAAATGGTAATTTTATATTAGTGAACTTCACCTTCCAAAAAAAGTCTTTGGTGCAGTGGGGAGTGGGGGCTAAGCCAGATTAATGGAAAATTGGAATGGACAAGAAGAGGCCTGAGTGTCAGAAGTAGAGGTCCCTCAAGGTCGATCTACTTGGCAGCACTGCTTGATATTTGCTATGCTATGGAAAAGGGGACAAGCACCTCCTATTTACTCCAGAATTTCTGACAGAAAACAAAGTCAAGCCTTAAACCTTAATTCATATTCTTAAGTCAGATAAACTATCCGATGAATGGATCAAATATTTGTGGGACTGCAAAGAGCGCTGGCCTTCGAGTCAGAGGCCCTAGGTGAGAGTCCCAGCCAAATCTGTCTTCCCTACTCACTCTGCGCCTGGCCAGGGCTTCTTTCTTGGTAGAGAGAGGTAATCCACACTAACCTCGCAGTTGAGGTGAAATTTTTTAAAAAGAGACAATCTATCACCATGTCTCCTGAAATGTAGGTGCTTAGGCAGAGCAAGCTCCCCGTTATGCTTTCATGGACTAATGAGGAATCTGGCTCCCGGTCCCCTCTCTACCCAGTGAGTGCATAACTTCCTAAGTGCACAATTTGAAGTGAACAGCAGATCTGTCATTTTATTTCACTTTGGCAGTGATTCTGAGCAAAGCTTGGCAGAGATGGTGAAATGAGTGGCTCAGAGGAATGTTGGGGACTTTGGGGTGGATTTTGAATCTCCTCCCCTGAGTACATAGCAATTACAGCAGCTTCCAAGTCCTTGGGGGAGGTGGGGAGCCATTCCTGTCTGGCAGCTGCACACTGAAGAGGCAGTGGTTGGAGAAGGAGAGGATTCATGGTTTCTGAAAAATTTGGATTCACTTTTTTCCCCCATCCCTACCTGAAGCGACTTTGATTGCAAATGGAAGAAAATTAGTGTGAAACTTGTATTCCTGTCACCACAGAATTAAGGAGGAAGGGAGAGGGCTGTTTAGGGTGCTGACCTCCTATGTGGATAATTGAGTCCAGACCCATCACTTCCCTGCAACTCTGCCCCTTACTATGCACTGAGTTCCTGTGTCCCATGACCATTCCCAGCCAGTGACAGCAGGGCAGGAAAATGAAGACCATCCTACAAGTCAACCTCCCTTGACAAGTGACTGGTTCAGGAGCCGCTGAGCTTGTAGAAATCTTTCCACACTTCGCAGCAGTCTAAGGCTTTCCTCCACCTCTCTTCCCTCTCTGTGTCACATGGTCAGTTTGCATAGCATAGCCTCTGGCATCTCACTGCCTCTTCTCCTTCCACTTCTCCTGACCTCTCACACACCTACCTACTGCCTCATGGTATTTACTTCCAGGAGTACCCAGATCAACATGGGATCCATAAAGAATAAGGAGCTTACAGTTTTGTGGCAGCCTATGTCTCCGGAGTTCCCCTGGGAAAGTCCTCCCAGACTGGCCCCTCTGTCTGCAGGGGTATAAAGTGAAGGGCAAGCGGCTCCTCACCTCAGAACATCTCTGGGCATCGTAAAAACCACCAAAATAATGGGACAATTGGGTTTTCTTCTCCTGTTACATTCACATGGTGCTGAACATTTATGAAAAAATAATAGAAGCTCATGGCTTAAGAGTTAGAGTTCAGCATTCTTTTTTTTCTCTCCATCCAGTGCTCTAGCTTGGACCTCAGAAAGGCAAGTAGTTGATCTTTGCTGAATAAGTAAAATGCACTTACATCATAGCTAGGTCCAACTATATTTAGGGCTTCGTATTTCTGATCTGGATCAAAAAAGGAGTTGCTTTAAAAATTCTCAAATATTGTGGCTTGTATTGATGTATTTTGAGAAGTTTCCAAATAATTGCTTTTCCAGGGTAGGTAGGAAAGAGAAAGACAAAATCTTTTCCCAAAAAAACTCCAAAGAATTATTTTTGTATATAAAGTGTAAAAGGGCTAGGGTGGAGGATGGAGGGAAGTGAGGGGGAATCAAAGGCAAGTAGCTGACCACAAAGCAGTGTCAGGCATGGGGCTGTCCTTCCTCCATGCCACTGCAGTCTTTCTGTATTCCCTGGGGCCTACTTACAGGCTCTAGGGACTAATTTCTGTCCTCTGAACTGCTCAATCTATGGATAGAATTTTGCACGAAATTGAGTTCACCCTAAGTACACTCTGAGCAGGTTGACCACATTGGGCGGGACCTGGAAGCCAAATGTGTATCCATTATTCCATAAATGTGCACTAAGTTACTACTATGTACTGTACCCGGGCCTGCATGAGGTGCTGGAGATAAAAATTTCTGTGCTAGGGATGTACCTCAGTAGTAAAGCACTTGCCTAGCACATATGAAGCCCTTGGTTTGATTCCAACCATTGAAGAAAAAATTCTTTCCTCAAAAGAGTGTTCAGTCTAGAAGAAACTTTACCATATTGTAACTAGTCCAAGGTTCTGCAGGAAAAAAAATAACTAAAAGAGATTACTGCAGTAGCTTCAAATATAGAGACATTCCTTGCGTTTCACGCTAGGGCCTGAGCCCAGTTTGAGGCCATGGAACAATTCTGAGGTTCTGGGAAATGCACACATGTGACCCTGCTCTATTGTGGGCCAAGAGGAGCTGGCTGAAATTGATTTATCATACCTTTCCACACTTAATATGGACCTGGGAGGCTGGGGACATGTTTCAGTGGCAGAGCATGTTTCATCGGCCCTGGTTTCAATTCCTAGCAACACACACACACACACACACACACACACACACACACACACACGCAGAAGTACCCATGGCATTTGTCAGCCTAATAATGAATTAGGAATTTCTTCCACTTTTAATGTGTTTTGTATTCATTGTTGTGATGATTATCACATGATCAAAATATATAGTGAACACTGCTGCTGAGTACCATCCAATGGAGAAGCAGGGATCTTCAATACAGAGGCAGTGCATGGAACCCTAGCAAAGATGTATGGCAAGTTTTAACTTGTCCGGCATGGTCAGTCAAGTGTGAGCTGCCATAGGAAGAAGTGTATTTTAAAGTGTGCTATAAATCATAGACCACAAACAATGCATTAACATGATATCTTGTTAGTTTGACTGCAGATGTGAGATTGTGCTATTTCAGATTCCAGCTTTTTAAAAAATGTCATCAAGGGAGATGGAACTTGGATCTATGTTTTTATGATCTTGAGACCAAAGATCAGAGTTTTCAATGGAAATCACTCAGTTTTCATGTGAGAAAAGCACATCAAGCAAGATCCAACATCAAGGTCATGGTGACTGTGTTTTTTGACCTTGATGGAGTTATGCAAGCTGAGTTTGTACCCAGGAGCACCATGGTGAACACTGAATACCATAATTTGCTTTTTAGAGCATTTAAGAAATCGTGTACATAAAGAATGGTCTTAGAAATAGGCAAATGGTTTCATCCTCCATCATGACAGTGCTTCCTGTCATGCATCACTTCTGGTAAGGCAATTTCTGTCAAGTAAAAACATCACACTGTACCCTCATTTACTTTGTTCACTGGATCTAGCACTGTACAACTTCTGACTCTTCCCCAAAGTCAAAATGACCACGAAAGGTAAACATTTTGAGTTGATTCAGGACATCAAGGCAACCACAGCAGCACAATTGACACTCACAAAAGAGGATTTCCAGCACTGTTTCAGAAAGTGGCGAGAATGGTGGGATAAGTATGTTCAAAGCAAGGGGAGTATGTTGAGAGGCATTAGTGACAATGCATCTTTCAGTGTAATAATTTTTTAAACTTAAACATTCACTGTAGTTTTTGATCACCCCTCATCTATATGAACTACAATCTCATGTGCTTTCATTGTGCTTATACATGCTGCCACACTTACACATGCATGTTCCAGTTATCTACTGCTTTGTAACAAACGACCTCCTCAACACTCAGGGGCTTAAAACAATGATAATGTGCTTTTCTCCTGGCCTAACATGTAGGGATCTGCTCCCTGGTGTGCCATTTTTACTGGAATGATTCATACAACTGGGGCTTTTTCTGCCAGACCAGAAAACTGAGACCACATCTGCCAACGGTAACTTCTGATGAAGACAGGTGGAGAACCCCAAGGCCTGGCAATGAACAGCTAAAAAAAATGCAATCTCCAGGACAAGGCAATGACCTGGGGAAGACTACTGATGTGACTTCCCTTTTTCCCAAAGGTTGAAGTTGAAGTTTTCTGGGTTTTCACCAAATCAGAGGAGGTGACTCAAGGGAACCCCTTACCCCTGGTTGGCTCTTTAGCTTCCTAAATTTAGCCTGGCTGCTCCCCTATTCCAAGGCCTCTAGAGAATAACAGTCCTCAAAGTGACACAGAGCA